TGAGGGAGGAGGTATGGGGGCAGGTGTAGCACTTCCTGCGGTTGCAGGGAAAAGTGCCGGTTATGTTCCATGGTGTGCAGATGTTTCATTACCATTCTAGACAACATCATCAGTGCAACTTCTAATCGAAGTGTTGGTGTTCTGCTCCGTTCTGAATTTATATGATCCTCGGGCGTGGTAGGTCTTGTCATTTACGGTTCTGTTTTTTAGCAGTGGTGTGTACACGGTGTCTATTTCTATGTGTTTGTTAATGGAGTCCTGTGTTGAGAACCAGGCTTCCAGAAATTCCCTTGCATGTCTGTTGTTCGCTTGTCCCAGTATAGTCACTTTGTCCCAGTTGAACTGATGGCCCTCATTGGCTGTGTGTATCAAGACAAGTGAATATTGGTCATGTCTTTTTACGGCCAGCTGGTGTTTGTGTATCCCAGTCATCAGTTTCCTCCCCGTTTGCCCAATGTAATGTTTATTGCACTCACTGCATGGGATTCTGTATATCACATTAGTTCTGATTACCGTCGGTATGGGATCTTTAGTCTGTGATAACATTTGACATAGTGTTGAAATAGGTTTGTGTGCAGTTTATGATCTTACGCGGACTTAGGAGTCTGGTTGTTTCTGATATATTTTTGATGTAGCGTAGTGATGCTAGTGTCTTCTTTTGTACCGTGTCCTCTGACTGTCGTTTGTTTTGTAGGCACCTGCGGACGAAACTTCTTTGGTATCTGTTGTCGGTGAAAACTTTGTGCCAGTGTTCCTCTTCCATTCTCTGGAGTTCTGGGGTGTTGCAGTGTGATACGGCTTGTTTAAATAGTGTCTTAATGCAGCTCTGTTTGTGTATGGTGGGGTGGTTGCTATTGAAGTCCAGGAATAGGTCTGTGTGCGTGGCCTTACTGTGTACATGGGTCTGGAATTCGCCGTTAGTCTCTCTAGCATTACGCAAATTTTATACTTGCGAATTTTATACTTGTTAACAAGTTGATGGGTTTTTTTTCTACTTTTGTGCGTTTGGTTATTACGAATGTGTCGTCCATTTATGATATCCACAGTTTGAGTTGGGACACGAACAACATCAGCAAGGACAGCTTACTGAAACTACTAGATTTATGCCTCACAACGCACTTCATGTTCAATGGCCAAATATACAAACAGATCAACGACACGCTGATGGGATCACCCCCATCTCAGGTCTCATCGTGGAAGCAGTGATGCAGAGACTGGAACACACAGCCCTTCCTATAATCCAACTGAAACTGTGGATGAGATAAGTGGACAACACACTCATAATAATCAAATGCACAAAAGTAGAAGAAACCCACCAACTCGTTAACAACATCTTTGCAAGCATAAAATTCACTAGACACAAAGAAAACAACAAACAGCTCCCATTCAAAAACAAAAGTTGCTGGAAAAGCTCAACAGGCCTGGCAGCATCTGTGAAGAAAAAAATCAGAGTTCACGTTTCGGGAAGGGTCACCGGACCCGAAATGTTAACTCTGATTTTTTTCTTCACAGATGCTGCCAGGCCTGCTGAGCTTTTCCCGCAACTTTTGTTTTTATTCCTGATTTACAGCATCCGCAGTTCTATCAGTTTTTAAACAGCTCCGGTTCTTCGACGTAATGGTAGAGAGACTAACTAATGCCGGAATGAAGTATACAGGAAGGCCACACAAATGGACCAAATCCTTAACTTCAATAGCAACCACCCCACCATATGCAAACTCTGCATTAAGACGCTATTTAAACAAGCCGTATCATGTTGCAACAACCCAGAACTCCGGAGAATGGAAGAAGAACACCTACACAAAGTATTTACCGACAACAGATACCCAAGAAGTTTCACCTACAAAACAAACGACAGTCAGAGGACACGGTACAAAAGAAGACACTAGCATCGCTACCATACATCACAAATATATCAGGAATGACAACCAGACTACTGAGACCACGTAAGATTATATTGTACACAAATCTACATCAACACTGCGTCAAATGCTATCCAAGACTAAAGACCCCATACCAACAGCAAACAGGACTAACGTGATATACAGAATCCGATGAATCGAGTGCAGTAAAGATTACATTGGATAAACGGGGTGGAAACTGACGACCAGGATGCACAAACACCAGCTGGCAGTAAAAAGACGCGACCGATATTCACTTGTCTTGATACACACAGCCAATGAGGGCCATCAGTTCAACTGGGATTTAGTGACCATACTGAGACAAGGGAATTTCTAGAAGCCTGGTTCTCAACACGAGACTCCATTAACAAACACATAGAAATAGACACTGTGTACACACCGCTGCTAAAAAACAGAACCATAAATGACTAGACCCAACATGCCAGAGGATCATATAAATTCAGAACGGAGCAGAACACCAACACTTCGATTAGAGGTTGCACTGATGATGTTGTCTAGAATGGTAACAAAACATCTGCACACCACAGAACAACCAGCTCAGCAAGTTAACAAACAACTGCATTCACAACCCGAGCTACAAGTTTTCACTAAGACCTTAAAAATATTTCTATATGCTCTGCTATTACATCCTTTATAATACAGCCTAACAATTTCTCAAAAATGGAGGGTTTGAGTTGTAAGGAGAGGCTAGATAGGCTGAGACTTTTTTCACTGGAGAAAGGAGGTTGAGGGGTGACCTTATAGAGGTGTATAAAATCATGAGGGGGATAGGTAAGGTGAATGGCAGGTGTCTTTTCCCTGGAATGGGGGCTCTCAAGACTAGGGGGCATATTTTTAAGGTTAAAAGAGAAAGAATTTAAAAAGACATGAGAGACAATTTTTATTTTACAGAATGGTTCATGTGTGGAATGAACTTCCAGAGGAAGTGGTGGATGCAGGTACATTTACAACGTTTAAAAGACGTTTGGATAAGTACATGGATGAGAAATGTTTGAAGGGATATGGCCCAACCTTAGGTAGGTGGGACTAGTTTAGTTTAGGATTATGGTCGGCATGGACCGAAGGGTCTGTTTCTGTGCTGTATGATTCTATAATAACAGACATTAAGGTAACTGACCTATAGTTACCTGCTATTTGTCTCCTTCCCTTTGCGAAATGTGTGATAAATGACAAATTAAATTTAACACAGAATGAGGCTGTTCAAGTTGGTAAAGGAATAAAGGAGCTGCTTATTCTTTGGTAAAGGGGAAAATAAATAGGATTAAAGAACAATGAATCAAGTGAATGCAAATGTACAAATGTGAGGCTTTAGAGTAATTAATATACTGGAGTTTATTTCTGGGAGAATGAAATACAAAACCGCGGTATTGTTAAATTCATATAGTACCTAATTAGCCACCACTTGGAGTAATGCTTTCAATTCTGGTGGACTAGCCATTCTGTAAATTGGAACATAAAATTATAAGAAATAAAATCAGGAGTTGGCCTTTCAGTCTGTCAAGCCTACCCCACTATTCATCAAGATCATGACTGATCTCATTATGGTCTCGACTCTACTTTCCTAAATGCCTTCTCACCCATCTCCCCCTTGACTCCCTTACTGATCAAAAATTGATATAATATCCCTTGAACTGATTCAATGACCCAGCCTTCATTGGTCTCTGGGAAGAGAATTCTACAGACTAATGATCTACTGAGGGAAATTCTCATTATCTCTGTCCTAAAGTGAGAATTCTTACTTTTAAAATGTGATCTCCAGTTTTAAATTCTTCCAAAAGGGGAAACATCTTTCCAGCATCTATCTTGTCAGGTCTTATCACCTCACAGTCCTCTAAACTCTCATAGATACAGGTCCAACCTGCTCAGCCATTCGTCAAAGACTGAGTCTGCACGCCAGGAATGACACGAATGCACCTACTTTGAATGGATTTGAATGAAAGTATATCTCTCTTTAAGAATAGTGACCAAAACTGTGCACTGTAGTCTAGCTGTGGTCTCAGCAATTCTTTGTACAGTGTAGCAAGATTTCTCTGCTTTTAGATTCTATCCCATTTAAACTATAACATTCCATTTGCCTTTCTAATTACTTGCTGTACTTGCATACCAACTAAAATGTAATGCACAGAACTGAACAAAATACTCCAGCTGAGACGGAATCTGTATTTTGCTCTTGTTTAATACAGTTTACTTGTTTTTGTACTCTGTGCTCTGATAAAGCGTAGAAATCTGAATGCTTTGTTAACCAGCATCAACTTGTTCTCCACCTTCAATAATTTATGTACAGGTGACTCCCAGGTTCCTCTGCTCCTACAGCTCCTTTAGAACAATACCACCACTGTTTTTCTATATTCTTCCTACCAAAATGAATCACTTCACATTTGACTTCATCTGCCACCTGCCTGTTCACTTCACCAATTTATTGGTATTCTTTTGAAGTCCTACATTGTCCTCCTCAGATCACAAAGTTTTCACATTCTGTATCATCATGTTTTGAAATTGTGCTTTGGCTCCCCAAAGTCTAATTAATAAAAATCAAGAAGGGCAGAAGGTATCAATCGCCACTTGTCAGCCCAAGCCTGGATATTGTCCTGATCTTGTTACATTTGAACGAGGACTGCTTCAGTATCTGAGGAGCCATGATTGGTGCTGAATATTGTGCAAACATCCCCACTTCTGACCTTCTAATGGAAGGAAGGTCATTGATGAAGCAGCTGAAGATGGTTGGGCCTAGGACACTACCCTGAGGAACTCCTGCAGAGATATCCTGGAGCTGAGATGATTGGCCTCCAATAACCATAATCCATATTAACCATAATATGTGTCAGGTATGATTCCGACCACCAGAGATGTTTGCCCCTGATACCCAATGATTCCAATTTTGTTAGGGCTCCTTGATGCCACACTCAATCGAATGCAGCCTTGATGTCAAGGGCTGTCACTCTCACCTCACCTCTGGAATTCAGCTCTTTTGTCCATGTTTGAACCAAGGCTGTAATGAGGTCAGGAGCTGAGTGGCCCTGGCAGAACCCAAACTGGGCATCACTGAGCAGGTGCTGCTTGATAGCACTGTTGATGACACCTTCCATCACTTTACTAATGATTGAGAGTAGACCGATGGGGCAGTAATTGGCCAGGTTGGATTTGTCCTGCTTTTTGTGTAAGGACATACTTGAGCAATTTTCCACATTGCCGGTTAGATACCAGGGTTGTAACTATATTGGAACAGCTGGCTAGGGGAGCACAAGTCTTCAGTACTATTGCCGGAATGTTGTCAGGGCCTGTAGCCTTTGCAGTATCCAGTGTCTCTAACCATTTCTTGACATCAAGTGGAGTGAATCGAATTGGCTGAATACTGGTGTCTGTAATGCTGGTGACCACAGGAGGAGGCTGAGATTGTGCAGGGGTGGTCTTGTCTTACAAATTGATTGAATTTTTTGAGGAAGTGATGAAGGTCATAGAGGGTTGGGCAGTGCATGTTGTTTGCATGGGCTAAAGCATTTGGCAAGATCCCCCATCATAGTCTGGTCCAGAAGATTAAGTCACATGGGATCCACAGTGAGTTGATGAGTTGAATGCAAAGTTGAATTTGTCGTAGAAGACTGCGAGTAGTTCTGGAGGGGTGTTTTTTTCAGACTGGAGGTCTGTGACAAATGGCATTCCACAAAGATCAATGCTGGGACTTTGTTGTTTGTCATACATTTTCATCCAAATAATTTATATATGTGTTCTAATTAGTAAGTTTGTAAATGACATGAAAATTGGTGGAGTTGTGGTTAGTGAGGAAGGTTGTCAAAGTATACAGCAGGAAATAGATCAGTTAGAAAGTTGGCAGAGAAATAGCCAATGGAGTTTAATCCACACAAGTGTGAGGTGATGCATTTCGTGAGATCAAATGCAAGAGGAAAGTATGCAGTAAATGACAGGGTTCTTAGGAACATTGATAGACAAAGGGATCTTGGGGTGCATGTCCATAGCTCCCTCAAAGTAGCAACACAAGTGGATAAGTTGGTAAAGAAGACATACAGCTTACTTGCTTTCATTGGTCAGGGCATTGAGAATAAAAGTTGACAAGTCATGTTACTGCTGTAATAAACTTTAGTTATACCACATTTGGAATACTGTATGCAGTAATGGTCACCACACTGTAGGAAGGATGCAGAGATTTTGGAGAGGTTGTAAAGGAGATTTACCAGGATTTTGCGTGGGTTGGAGTGTATTAGCTAAAAGGAGAGGTTGGACAAACTTGAATTGTTAGAGCATTGGAGACTGAGGGGAGACCTGATAGAGAAGTATCTAAAATTGAAATAAAGTGAATAGCCAGAGTCTTTTTACCAGACTGGAATCTGAAATACTGGGGGGAGGCATAGATTTACGGTGAGAGGGGCAAGTTTAAAAGAGATGCGCGAGGCAATTTTTTTTTAACACCGTGTGTAGTTAGTACCTGGAACATGCTGCCAGGGAGGTTGTAGAAGAGATAAAATTGCAATGCTTAAGAGACATTTAGACAGACATACAGACATGGAATAGAGGAATATAGATCACGTGCAGCCAGATGGGGTTAGTTTAGAATGGCATCGTGGTCGGCATAGACATGGTGGGCCAAATGCCTGTTGCTGTGCTGTACTTTTCCATGATCTAAGTCCTAAACTGACCTTTGGGGACCTCTACTACAAGCCTACCTTCAGTCTGAAAAAAGTCCATTAACCATTACTCTCTGTTTCTTGTCGCTGTTGATCTCTTATGCATTTTCAAGGTAAGTAAAATACTTGTGACGTTTCCTTCCTAATGGCTACTGAAGTTATTCAGATAAAAGAGAAAAAGAAAGACTTGCAATTCCATACCACATTTTACAATCACTGGACATCTTGAAGCATTTTACTTTCAAGTTGTTTGATTTATTTGTTGTCATGTGTACCGAAATACAATGAAAAGATTTGTTTACAAGCAGTACAGGCAGATCATAGTAAGCAAAGGATGTACAGATCAAAGAGACTTTAGACAGAGGCATACAGGTTACTTTGCACAGAGCGTGTGCTAGGCAAGATTGATGTAAGCAAGATTAGTGTTATTTGAGGCTATGGATTCCATTCATCACTTTGATAATGGCCGGGAAGAAGCTGTTCCTGAACCTGCTGGTGCATGTGTTCAGGCTTCTGTGTCGTCTGCCTGACGGAAGAGGTTGTAGGAGGTCATTACCAGGATGTGATGGGTCTTTGATGATATTGGCAACCTTTCTGCGGCAGCAAGCCATGTAAATGGAGTCCATGGATGGAAGGTTGGCTTCCGTAATGGTCTGGGCTGTGCACACCCACTTCTCTAGTTTCTTACAGGCCTGGGCAGACCAGTTACCATACCAGGCCGTTTTGCACCCAGACAGTATTCTTTCAATGGTGCATCTGTAGAAATTGGTGAGGGACCTTATAGTCATGCCAAATTTCCTGAGCCACTTGAGGAAGAAGAAGCGTTGTTGCGCCTTCATCAATATCGAATCTGTGTGGGAAATCCAGGACAGGTTGTCAGTTATTGCCAGTCCAAGAAACTTGATGCTCTTCACCATCTCAACCTCAGTTCCGTTAGTGTAGATGGGGCCTTCTCCTTTCTTTCTGAAGTCAATGATCATTTCTTTAGTTTTACCGGCATTGAAAGACAGGTTGTTTTCATTGTACCACACCACCAAGCCTTCTGTCTCCCTTCTGTAGTTTGACTCGTTGTTGTTAGATATCCATCCTACTACGGTTCTGTCGTCAGTGAACTTGTAGATGGCGTTCATTCAGAATTTGGCAACACAGTTGCAGGTGTACAGGGAGTACAGTAGGAGGCTGAGAACGCATCCTTGGGGTCTCCAGTGTTGAGTGTTATCATGGAGGAGGTGCAGTTACCTATCCTCATTGGTTGCGGCCTGTGGGTCAGAAGGCTGAGGATCCAGTTGCAGCGGGCAGAGCCGAGACTAAGGTCATGCAGTTTTGAGATCAGTGGGAGGGGATAATGGTGTTGAAGCCGGAGCTGTAGTCAACGA